AATGCATTTTTTGCCAGATTGTCTTGGAGCTACTTATGGGTTAGAAATGGGGCAGAGCCACATGAATGAAGGGGAACACGGGAGCAAGGACATCTTCTTTCTGCCGGGTGGATTCCCATTTTAGGGCAACAATCTTAGCTACAAAGTCAAGACATGTCCAAGAAAGTGGCTTGAAGGAGAGCAAATTATACCCCAGAAAGTGTGAACAAATATTCAGAAGGAGACCATGAAATCCTGCTTATGTGCTGAGGCGACGCACACAGGTGGTTCCAATTACTAGTTCTGTAATCAGGCATGATAACATTAATAAGTTCATCTTTGTGAAGATTGAATGAGATCATCATTTAGGTATTTAGCATAGAGCCTTGGCACACCGTAAATGTTCAATAAACATTAACACCAACATTAATAACGATCATTTATCTAGGGAACCACTTTGGCCCTCAGCTAGCTAGATGAGTAAAGGCAAGATAATAAACCAGTTTCACAGGTTTGTGTATCTAGTATTCTAGAGACCTCCTGGGCACCTAATGGATGCTGAGTAAATACTAGTTCTCTCTCTCTCCTTCCGAGTGCCTTTCTTTTCTCCTGTCCAGCTCTGACATCCCCAGTCCTCAGTATGTCTCCCAACCATGGACAACAGATCAGGGTGAATATGTCCTGCTCATGACATCAGCACACTACCACAGCCTTTCTTCCTGTTTTGCCTCCTATCCGCTGTCGAACCCAGCCCAGACTGTCTATTGGCACCCCAACCTGCCTGACAGACTCTGTCCCCCACTCCACTCCTGTCCTGCCATATTGACAGATTCGCAGCCAGCAGGTTATATTCACAGTGTGAGGGAATCATTACCACCTGCTAATATTTTTATAGAATTTCATAAACTTGGTCATTCATGAATCATTTACAGTACTTTATTCCAATGAAGAGTTCACAAATCACTCAAATGCTGGCAAAATGCATAATAATGAGTAATATTTCAAGAGGCTTTGCATTAATATGTCAGTTTCCAATACTGCGAGAGCTAAATTATTCTACCAGGTGCCACTTTGGGTCAGAGGCTTGGGAAGCCCTTTGGGGGCCGCGGTGGGGGGTGGGCAGGTGGAAGTAGGTCATGGAGAAAGATGGGATTTGGGAAGACATCCATCATCTAGTCACACCTCCACCCTGGCCCCAGTAAGTGGAGTCCCTGGGAGAGAAGGCTGGGAACTTGCAGATTAGCTATGAGACTCTAACTGGGGGTGACATAGGAAGAGGCATTTCTTAGTAGTTAGAAGTGCAGGGCTTTGGACGTGGAGAGAAGCAGATCCGGAGCCCAGATTCCACACACATCAGCTCCGAGACCTTGAACAAGTTACTTCACAGTTCTTTGCTTATCTGCAAAATGGTGTTAACGTCTACTTCTGTAGTCTCCTGAGCGAAATGAATTAAATAAGAGAGCATGTATGAAGCGTTTCCTGCAGGATTAGCCATGTATTGTTCCATAAACAGTAGCTTTAATGATGGCACACATTTGGGGGCCCAAGGACCAATTTGTCCCCGGTTATTTCTTATTGTGCAGATCCCCAAGGCTTAGTTCAGAACGCTTTCCTGTGGGGTGTGGGAAGCAGCAAGTAGCCCTGACTTGCAAGTGAGGAGATTTTAACTAGAGGCTAAACAACGACACCAACAATGGAGCGATTATAATGGAAATTCATTCACCCACAGGCTCCCTGCTTTTCAAACTTGCCAGAGGGGAAAGGAAAACCTGGAAAGTGGAGCGGAGGATCCAGCTCTTTGAAGAGGTGTGTTCGCTACCAACCACGATGACCCTGGTGAACACGGATGGATCTGATTGTGCTGCTAAGATAGTAAATTATTTCTGAATAGGTGCTTTAAATGGACAGGGATTGCAACATTCCTGTGCCCAAAGTATATTAACGAAATTAAACCAGTCAATCCACATATGGGAGAACCTAACACAGGGTGATAGGAAGGAAACAGGACAAAGACCTATCTAAGAGCCGGAGGTGTGGGGGGGATGGCATTGGTGTGGGGGTTGGAGAGTGGCTCGGGCCAGCGGAAGCTGGGCTGCTGTAGCCGGTACTCTCCTAAGACCTCGCATTCCCACCAGGCATCACCATCTCTCCACTGGGCACACACAGCCCTGTGCCAGGGGTAAACCAAGTCAGACAACGAACGAGACACAGCATCCTGGCAGGGACACCTGTCCAATGGTGAGGAGTTTAAAGCAGTTCATTGAAACAGAGCCTTGGCGGTAAAATGAAAGCTACATGTGAGGGCAGGGAATCTGGCGTGTCTGGTTTCCCCCCACATTCCCCCGACACTGTGGAGGAAGCCCCACACTCTGTAGGTTCTCGAACGTGTGTAGAAAAAAATGAACTGAACAATTAATCACTATGCTATGAAGTACATTATGAAACTATTAACACAAACTCAGGATCGCCCATGGAAAATCGATGCTTGATCTGGGTGGGCGGGGCAACAGCACAAAGTCCTTGGAGTTCTCCTTTACCTTCCTCAACATCATTAATCTCTGGCTCATGTGGTAAGATCACATGGTGCTTAATGTGATTCTGGCATCATTCTAAATGCTTGACGCGTTGTTAACTCATTTCATCCATTAAAATCCTGCAAGATCAGTACTGTTATCATTCCCATTTTACAGACGAGAACATTGAGGCAGACACCATGCCCAGGTTCCCACAGCTAGTCCATGACGTGATCGGAACGTGGCAAACGTGGCTGTGTGCAAAATTATATGTTTTTAATTGCTATGCAACTATACAGCTTCACTTTTACGAAACGTATGAGAAGCTCCAAGCTACTGGCCAGGCTCTATTTTACTCACTGATTAGCAATTGCTAGTTAGTCACAGCTAGTAATTTTATTTTGTACGATCCTTAGAGGTGCCAGTACTAGTCTTCTTTCACGGATGAGAATTATAAGATCAGAGAGGGTGAGTGGGTCGTCCAAGATCACATAGCTCAGTAAGTGGCAATGCTGAGACTCGAAAGAATTTGCTACTTCCAAGCTCTTAACCGTTATCACTGTGCTACGAAATTATAAAATGTACTGTATCCTTAGTTTCTTGGGTCTGAAAATTAACGGATATTCCCACCATAGGCATGGGAAGAGCAGAGGACATGTACTGGTGCTGGTTTACGGTCTGTGCTGGTTTTCCTTTCAGGAGCTGCCGCGTCACCCCCGGTTACTGCTGAGGCCAGTCGGACCCGGGACTTTTTGAGGGTGCCAGTATTCAGTTTCTATAGCAACCAGGTCCCCCCTAGGTACCCCAAGACACTCTGCTCACCCCTTGGTGGTCTCTGATAGATGGTACCCCTGCAGAGGCTCGCAGCACGTACCCTTTGGCAAAAGCTTCTGAGAAGGGGGTCTGGGAGGCACCTGCATCCTCCCCGGATCCCGGGCCCTCGGGCAGACGGGGTTCTACCACCTTCCATTGTACCACTCTATTTGTCCAGTACTTAGCTTCCTCCAACACCCCCAGACTGTCTCCTCCTCCCTGACCACCCACAGCAATCCAGTAGGGAGGTGAGTGTTACTCGCATCTTATGGATGGGATCCTGAGGACCAGAGCTTTCCTGGCCTTCCCAAGGTCAACAGCTCGTGGTGACAGGGCAGGCCAGACCCAGGGGACCTGTTTCCCACCCAGAGCCCTTACTTCTCAATGCAGTGTCCCTCCTCCCTCTATCTGCAGAAAAGGAAGAACACGGATTTTTTGGGGAGAGGCAGTAGTGTTTCTGAAGGGGGATCAGGATATCCGTATGCAGTGTTTTGACCAAGAAAACCAGAGATGCCAAATCTTGTCCTAGAAATCGATCACCACCTTCTGACCCCGAGCCAGGGAAATACACAGGTTGGGGCAACGATGATGGAAGGCAAACATTGTTGGCTGAACCCTGTTCCCATGGTGCCTGCTCACAGCCCGGTGCGCTGCAACCCAAGGAGGGTCTTCCCAGAAAATGTCTGAGAATTCCAACACGTTCCTCAAAGACTGAGCTTACCACCCTCAGAGGCTTGGGTCTATAACACAGGCTGTGAAAATGGAATTTATGGACGGTGTTGTAGAGAAGGTATAGGACTGACCTCAAGCCCATATGAGATTCAGGGCTCACCCCAATATCTGTTTGCCACCGCTTTGGTCTGTGGGTCCCAAATGGGTATCCACTAAAGGATAAAACTATCCTTTTACAAAGGGCCTGCTCTTTCTCCATAAAAAAGCAACTTAATTATTTTTAGAAAAATCAGAAAACACAAAGAAAAAGTCAACAACACACAAACACAACGATTAACATTTTGGTTTTTCCTCTATCGCGTTTCTTCACAAATGTACGCCCGTTGTGATGTGTGAATACTCAATCTGCAGCGCGGATTCCATATGTATTTGTGTGTCTGTTTCCATTAAATACCTTGACTTTCTCCCAAATAACTAGAACTTCTTCAAAATATTTAAAATGGCTGTACAAAGCTTCCTTGCAAAGTTGTGCCATAATTTAACCACTACCCCATTGGTGAATATTTAGCAAAATTGTTTCCATTCTAAGCATGATGTCTTGCTCTAACATTATTGCACAAAAATCTAACTAAATGACCTCCTATTTCCTAAGGATAGATTTCTAAAAGTACAATGATCACATCCAAAGGTTTACACCTTTTATAGCTATTCATTATCAAGCTGGTTTTTGGAAAGCCCAAGTTACCCTAAAGGTTCTGACCTCTTCTGAGATCCCCCAAGAGCCCTCCTCCTCGGCCTCCAGTACCCAAAGTCTCACACAGGCCTGAGGACTCTGTTGATGAGATAGGGCCCCCACTGTTACCCTGTTGGGGTTCAATGCCACTCGGCTCCCACAGAAACACACTTAAAGCCGCACAGCCCGAGGTCTCATGAAACACACAGAAATAACGAGCTCAGTGGGAAGAAAACAGCCTCCAAAAGCCACATGTCGGCATGCAGGGCGGGCACTTGAGGGGCACTCACTTGATAAGTAGCGATCGTTTCTCTGTCCAAGGTCCTTGTCACAGAGACACTGCCCGTGTTCTCATTGATTCGGAAAATTCCTTTAGGCTCTTGATCCACTCCCTTTCCAGTGAGCCGGAACTTAGACCCTTCTGGTCTGTCACTATCGACTACCTGGGCAGAGACACAGAACGACATTTAAGACTCTGGCTGAAAAACACAGAGAAAGCACGTTTTAAACATACCTCGGTGACCAAGGCACTAATCACAGGTGCCAACACAGAGCAGTCAGATAAAGTTGACTAAAGCAGCGTCACCAAAAATAGCATCATCGCTTAACACCTTTCATCCTGAAATGCAAATCTTTGCAGCTTACAGCCAGGGAAGCTTACCAGCATGGGGGTGACATACATCTCGGGATAGATCTAGGAAGGAAATAACTCCAGGAGGTATAAGGTCAGACATTTTTATTATTTGTAACTCTCAAAAAAGAGATTGATTTTTTTTTTATTGTAAGCAAGACCGAATGGACAATGGGGAAAAAATGAGTGGGCAGTCTTTTAATGGGCAGGCATTGGTCAAGGTTCCAACTCTTTACGGAACTGTCATCAACAGCGCCACTCACCCCATTGCTTATAAGGAAGTAGGCACAGTGTTGTAAGCATTTCACGTGCATTTACAAGTTAAAAAAAAAAAAACTCACAACAATGCTGGTGGGAGGGGACGTTATCATTCATACTTAAGGGATGAAACCCCTGAGACACAGGGAGATGTAACTATGGTCACAGCTATGAAAGAGATGAAGAGAGGATTCAAAACCCATCTTCCATTTCTTTAGGGATATTGCTCTGCAACAATGCCAGTTCTGAATTTAAGAGAACCCCCTACAGGTTGTTAGCCTTGATTTGACATTTGAAGATAATTCAGATGATAGAGATTGATGGAGTAAGATAGTTCTAGACAGAGGGAACCGCACAGACACAGGCAGCAGGCAGACGAGAGGGAGCCTACAAAATTCCAGAAACTGGGAGTTATTCGTGGGGTTTGAGTGAGGTTCAGGGTAATTAGGAGCCAAATTTAATTCGTTTTTTTTTTTAATAGCGTTTGAAGATACTCACAGATTTTAATTTTAATAGCGTTTGAAGATACCCAACTAAAGAGAGAATTATTATTTGCATGAATTGGTTCTAGAGTCTGCCCAATTATTCATCTGTATTTAATGTCACTTTATCATCTATATCTGTGAACAAGAATTCGATGGTAACCATGTTTTTCGGTCTGACAATTTAAAGGTCAGAAACAAACATGCAGAACAGTTAAATGAAAGCTATACTGATCCAGCTGTAACCAATTTACAAGTGAACAGGCACCTGGGGAACACTGTTGGAACACTGTCACCTGTACCTGGAGGGTTTCGGTGGCTAGAACAGGAAAGGTGCCTTCTGGTGGAGTCAGTCTCCCTCAGAGGCTGGTCATGGCTGGGGCCCCCTAGCCTGCAATTCCGGCGGCTGCCACCAGGTGGCAGTGGTGCCTAAGGCAGCGTGACCCTTCTACCCAGGTTCCTCTGCCGTGCCCAGTTGAGTCAGAGACCGACAGTTCCACAGAGCAAGTTTTTTCTTTTTTTCTGATTGAAAATTTTACTTAAATACATTGAGAGTTTTGATTAAACACCAATTATCTCTGTTTGCTTTTTTAAGATTAACATAAAATGTCATCTAAAGCAAGATTTAAACTAAGGCATGTGATATCTTCTGAGGAAACGGATTTTTAATCGCTGCTTGACTTGATTTAATCCAACTGATGTTCTCCCCCCTGACCCACTCCCCACTGCTTGGGAGCTCATGAGGTCAGCAGCCTCCGCATATTGGGCTCACCCCTGGATCCCAGTGCCCAGCACAGTGCCTGGCATATGGCAGGAAACAGTGCCAGTATCTGCTTAATAAAAAACACCACCATTCAGACAAACTCATGTCCCAGTCCTAGCTTGGTCTAAGGCCAGCTCTGTGACCTTGAACATGGCCTTCTTGGCTCTTGATTTCCTTATCTGTAAAATGAAGAGAACACCCCTTATTTCTCAGGGCTGTGAGGGTTTAATGAGATATTGTGTGCAAAGTGTACTTCCTGGTGAACAGAAGGGGCTCAATGAATTGTAGCTAATGATACCCATGCTCAGAGTAATAATCGTGACAAAATCGTGCCATCATTGTTATTGGGTAAGACTGAGACTTTCAGGCATAAAAAAACATCTTAGCCATAACATTAAAAAAAAAAAAAAATCCCTAAAAGGGGCTTGTGGGTGGCTCAGCTGGCTAGGTGTCTGACTTCAGCTCAGGTCATGATCTCACAGTTTGTAGGTTTGAGACCCGTGTTGGGCTCTGTGCTGACAGCTCGGAGCCTGAAGCCTGCTTCGGATTCTGTGTCTCCCCCTCTCTCTGCCCCTCTCCCACTTGTACTCTGTCTTTCTCCGTCTCTCAAAAATGAATGAATGTTAAAAAATTTTTTTTTAAATCCCTAAGAGAAC